AAGATCTGAGAGCTTAAAAACACTATGTTTTTGTTCATTATTATATTCAATTGTAATAAATCAAATGTTATTCAAATTTTAGATCAATGTTATTTACATTATCATATCAATTAAATTCATCTTTATATTATGTTTATATATGTTATAATTGTTAGATAAATTTTCTTTACATAAATTAAACTATATAATTTACATTTAAACTAATTTTATTAATCATGTTCAATGCCAATAAATTATTCTAACTTATAATCATTATAATTAGTTTAATTAATAATGTCCAACACATAAATTAGTTGATAAAATAAAATTAATGATTATATTGAATATTTATAACCTAAGAATCATAATATAAGAATCATAATTAATATAATAAATCTATTTATTAATTTAATTATCATAATTAATATTTATTATAACATTTAAAAATTAATCATATTAATTAATATGATTTATTATAAACTCAAAATCTCACAATTTTATTAAAATCTTTTAATTTCATCAATGTTAATATATAAGTCAGGTATATATCAAATCAGGTTAATAACAAGTCGGATCATTTACAGGTCAGGTTGAAAACGGGTAGGGTAATACCAGTTATTTACCGAGTCAATCTCGGGTTTAGGTTGATATCAGTCGGATAAAGTTCGGATTCTGGTATCATATTTTTTGTTCAATTCGGATTCAGGTAGTTTTTAGGTCGGGTGCAGGTCAGGTTTAGATCTACAATTTTCGGGTCCAACTTGGGTTCAGGTTAACACCAGTTTCGACTCGAGTCGGTTTCGGATCGCCATAGCGCAAGTCAAAAATAATTTTGAATCGAGTCGATTTCAATCAATTTTACAGATCGAGTCAACTTTTTACATCCAGTTAATTTCCTTTTAATTAATAATATCTTGTTTTTGTAGGAGTTCCATCTCGACACTTGCTCATACCAGAATCTCCTCCCTCCTTTTCTTTTATTAATTAAAATTTCATTTTCGAATATTATTTTACATAAATAATTCATTAATAACAGTTTTAATTACATATTTAAGGGTTTTTTTTTGGATAAAATTTCCTTTCTCTTTAAATATCTAGAGTTTTATTGGATAGTAACAAGTGAGTACATGCAGCAATAGTAGAACGACACGTTTCTATACAATTGAAAAAATATCTTGTGAACCAGTGATTCATCAACTTCGTTATTTTCTTTTCCGCACTCTTTCCCAGTGAGTAATGAGTGTAAGCCAAGCGTTAGTCTTTCATTCCACCCTCTCTCAAAGGACAGTCCAAAATTAAGGTGAAATTTTGTGTCTTGTTCGGTATAGGTGAAACTCAAGAAATGATGAATAGGTGGGAGAGATAATAATAGAAGGGTAAACTACACATTTAATAATTACTACTTAAATTATCAGTTTCGATTTATTTTAATTTTTAAATTTATATTTTTTTTAAAGTATACCTAAAATTTAGTTTTTATTTCATTTTAGTACTCCAATGTTAAAAACTTAACACGTTTAGTACATAAATTATTAGTTTTGATATGTTTTAGTACTTAAACTTTCATTTTTTTCAAAACTTAACGTTGCATTTTGAACTAAGTACTAAAATAAAATAAAAATTAAACTTTAGGTATGCTTTTAAAAAAAATAAAAATTTAAGTATTAAAACATGTCAAAATTAATAATTTAAATATTAAATACGTAATTTATTCTAAAAAAGTAAAAAAAAAACTAAATAAATGTTATTTAGATATTTTCAAGTTGTTTGCTTAGTTTGGGGGGAGTGGGAAAGTGCAATTATTTTAATAATAAAGAATTAACACACAAAAAGCGAGATTCAATGTTGTTAAACTCATTTTGGATTGGCAAGTTTGATAAATTAAATCAATAATTTATCATAGAGTAAACTAAGTTAATGGTTAGTAATGTCATGACTAGTATTCGTTTTAACCACTGATGTTTGAAAAGTCACAAATCGATCATTAACGTTATCGTTTGTTACAAGATGGACACTCGGCATTAACAACCGCTAGTAGGCGTGACAGAAAATACAACTAGACCATTATATGTTGACTTGGAACCGTTTTGATCTACCTTCTCTTCTATCTCCACTCTCTCATATTCATACTTATTTTTAACTCAAAACCCACCATTTTCTTCAATCTTCATCTTCTCTGCCCCCTTCCAATCTCTTCACCATATTCTCTTCCCCTTCTAATACTTGCATTCTCCTCCGCCTTCACCTCTCAAAATCCCTCTACCATTGATTCTTCGTCAATAAAATTTCATTAAATTAAAAAAATGGTTTTGATCATTTTATCTCTCACAACCACATACAAAAAATAAAATAAAATAAGTCGTAAACAAAATACAATATCAACAAACAAAAATTACTACTGAACTAATTATTATTGTATTTAATAAATAAATTATTTTTCTTTGTTTTTATGTTTTCTTTTATATTTCCTTCTATAGAAAAGTTTCCTCTATTTTATTTTTCTTACTTTTCGTATATCATTTTTACGTTTTTTTCATCTACTTTTGTGACATTTTTTTCATGTCTCTATGATAATTTTTCGTTTGTTTATGTAATTAAAGTTGTAAATGAGACGAAATAGATTGAAAGTTACTCAAGTTTGACCTGATCAACACTCGAATCAACTGAACTCGACTCAAGTTCTTTACTAGAGAAATGTGTATGCCATTAATGACATTTTCTCAAAATTCATCTCAAAACACCCCAAAAGAGTGTGATTTGTAATGACTTTTTTTACAAAAGCCGCTAAGCTTAAATAGTTTGACAAATAACTTTTTACTATGTATTACTCAAATTAATATCCGGTAACATTATCCAATAATAATAAACTTGAAATTTAATTGGGGTGTTTCATAGCTATGTTACTAGAAACGTCGTGTTCCAAAATCAATAAGATGGACATTACAATTGTTCAAAAAAGAAAAGATGAACATTACAATGAGAATTCATACGCTTAAGTACAACTTCAGCATCGCGAAGCACTGACAACTCACAGGCCATTTTGAGTAGTCCATTCCTTCTCTTTGAAAACGTTACTTCTCTTCTTGATGTATTCTCTATTTTCTTCATCTGACTTAAGGAACTTGAGAAACAAAAAAACAAAAAATCTTTGTCGGTACGAGAAAAGTCTATACAAGGATTTATTGGAATTTAGTTTTTGACATGAAAGATGCAACAAATGGATATAATATTTTAGTCGGAGGATCACCCATGACATTTGTTAGTTGAAAAAGTGACTGAGAGCGTGAAGAACAAAAGGTATCATTTTCGTCTAAACTTACAGAATCGATTAGTTGTAGCCATATAATCAAATCAAATCAGATGAAGAAATGAACTAATTTATCAGCTAGCAACCATTAAGATCCAAAACAAAGCAACATAATAAGAATAAAGTGATAATTAAAACTAGAAATGGTGGACTGGTGTGTTCTTATATTTGACACTTTTTGCTTGTCAATTTCTGTCTTAAGAGCTTTTCACTGCTTAATTGGTTGCATTTGGTTTATTTCATGTATATAGGACTCAATACTGGAATTGGCAGCAAGGACGTGATTTGCAATTTTTTTTATTTTCTGGTCATGGCTGGAGACATGGGCACGACACTAGGCACGATGCGGAGCTAGGAAATCTACTTATCAACGTTCTCGTGGAAGGCAAAGAGAGTGCCAGAAAGTGGAAAACCCAGATTGCTTCCAGGAAGAATATGGATTCTGATATGGTGGCAAGCAATAAATTTGAATCTCCAAGTGATAGTACTTTTTCTATTGGGCACTCTTCAACCCACCAAAGCATTGATGCTCCTGCTGATCCAAACAATCTTCTAAATAGTTGCCTGGATGATTCAGGACTTCTCTTCAATTCAAGGTTCACAAGAAATGCGTCAAGAAGAGCAAGGTCGAGTGAACATGATGGCATCGCCTGCAGCTCATGGTTTTAATGGTCACTTGCCTTTTCCTATCCATTCTCTATCAATGGAATACAGTCGGAGAAATTTGGGTGGATTTGTTCCTACAAATATTCAAATGTTTCCCCAAGGATTGGTCCCTAGAATGATGAGGATTCAACTGAGTCCGGTAGTGAAAGTTTTGGTTTTTCAATAACATCACACGTTTACTGATACCAAGATAACAGAGGCAATGATGTTTACTTTGATGAAAGAACTGCAAGTTCTAGACCCTTGGTCACTTCAGATACTAGTTCAGACTGAAGTAAACCTCACCAGAAAATTCTTGGGAAGGAATATCAGATCAGGTCTCTAAGCCATCGAGGGAGAAACAGGGTAGAAAAACACCTGTTTCTGTGCTCTCTTCTGCTGCTGGTAGGAATGTTAAGATCATACTTAACACTCCTCCCTGGCAGATGATGGCAGAGACTGGAATCCACCATTAATTAAAGAACTATTGCACCTCAACCGGCCGGTTCTTTATACTATACAAGGCCTCAAATGCCTGGATCTTAGGCAGCTTAGACAAATTGCTCAGATCCACTTAGGGATGGGCATGAGACCCGAACCCGACGGATTCCAACCCGACCCTATCAGGTCGGATTCTTTTAAAAAAAATATGGGTCCAGGTTTTTTTTAAATGTGTTGTTCGGGTCGGAGTCGGGTTTTCGGTGAAAAACCCCGACCCGACCCAAAAAAATATATTTTACCTTATATATTTAGAAATAATTACAATAATACTCCTCTATATATTATTTTTTTTCAATTAAATCACTATTTTTATTGAATAAAAATATTTTTTATTATTTCGGGTAGAGCCTCGGGTGGAGGACTCTTTGTTCTCTGGTCGGGTCAAGTGGACCAAAAATCCGACCCAACCCATCCCTACCCGCTATCAAAAGAGGCAGTGATGTTTACTTTGATGAAAGAACTAGTGTACTGAGGCCGGCAGTGATGTTTACCCATACAAAATTGTTAAGAATCATTTTTTATTTTAAAATTTCAATTTACTAGCTCTAGTTTGTTGAAATTTTCATGGTAAGGAAAAAGAAATAGAAATCCCCATTTTTTTCAGAAACAGAAACTGTGTTCATTGATGTTGCATGTCATTGGCCCTGTGTTCTTGACCAGGATGAAATTCTGTTCAAGGAGGGATAGCAGGATGAAAGATGATAACAATTACTTGAATATCTGATATATGGAAAAAGAATATTTAAATATTCAACAGGTAAAGCTTGATAATTGGAGATGCCTGAATCAGCTCCGGTGATCTATTTGGCACGCAGACCAGGGACATTCCTTAGGCCCATCTTTGAAAGCACGAGCTTTGGAATTGCAGGAGGGTTGTCAAGACCCATGCTTCTGCTGAACTCGTTTGCCAGCTCCACAAGTCTGTACTTATCCTTGCCTACATTCTTATCAGAATTGTAATAACCAAGCCATGCCTGATAAGCTGATTCTTTGGCCTTCATCTCTACATGGGAAAGTGCCCGTCCCACCTATTCAACCATATTTTAACACCATTAAAGATTTCTTTTTCGAAGTATTCAATCATCACTTCGTAGAAACTTACAGAAAATCAAGAGTTTTCTCCTTGTAGTTAAACTAGTACAGGGAATAAAATGCCTCAGGAGGTGCACTCTATGAAGCTTACCTTTTTCGTTGTTTCTGGATCCAAAGAAGGCAAAGGAGCCTTTGTTATGGGCAAATCCTTGATGCTAGACAGAAAATGTTCCTCCCAAGGTGCTAGTAAGAGTATTCCCTGCCCTTCCTTACCCTTACGCCCAGTTCTACCTAGCCGATGTATATATTGTTGTCTATCGGATGGGATGCCCACCTGTGATAGTAAAAGAAAAAGGATGGCGTAAAATATGACCATCAACAGTAAATAAAGCTTTGCAAAGTAGACAGAGTGTATATATAAGAAAAGTTTAAGATAAAGAAAGAAATTAATTCCTCTGAAAATTGAGCAAGATATAGAAAGTCCATCGGAATTTAAAAGAAAAATGCACTTATGTACAGAGTAGGATTTCTGACTTAGAAGCGAAATACCTCATTTTGGTACAGATTTTAATCATATCAGAGTATTTTACCAGTAATAGATCCATTAAAAAATAGGGGACTTTAATTCTAATTAGAAAAAACAACGCCTTACCTGAATTACAAGTGTAACATCAGGATAATCAACCCCCCTAGCAGATACATCCGAAGTCACAAGAATAAGACCTTTTGACTTGCGGAATTCATCAGATACCTTTGTTCTGTAACTCTGTGATTTTCTTGAATGAATCTCTCTAACATTCAGACTCAGCTCACGAAGAACGTCTGCTACCAACTTTGTTACCATAGCAGTTGTGCAGAATACGAGAACCTGTGGAAATAGATTGCTAGTTTACATTTTGTGGTTAAGGAAGAATGAAATAAAGAGCAAAAGCATAAGCAACATTTAGAGAAGAAAACATTTGCTATTATGTTCCAATTTTAAACAGTTAAGAATAGGGGCGAACCAAACCTTTTAGTTGCAAAAGCTGTGGGGACAACAGAAGTAATTTTTTCTAATGAGAGCTAACAATCAAAAGTAAAGAACTGTGAAGTAAATTCAACACCTTGTAGTCAATGTCATCTGCAATATGTTCTTTCAGAAGAACATACAGTAGTGAAAAATGCTTATCGAGTGAAGCAACCATGTGCATCTGTCTGACCTGAAAAATCCAGAATTTAAAAGTTAAGAAATTCCTTTCTATTCAAAAGAAAGGCAACACTGCAAAAATCTACCTGTGAATGTGTATCACCAGTGCCCTCTTGAACTGTATTGATAAATTCATGATCTCTTCTCAATGCAATGTGGCAGATTTGATGAACCTTCACAAGAGTTGCTTTAGAACTTTAGTTTTTCCTCAAATATGCGACACATCTATGTGCAATACACACAGGATAAAGAAAGAAACCTCTTTGGGAACTGTAGCAGAAAATAGAAGTGTCTGCCTTTGTTTTGGAACAGCAGCAATTATCCTTTCTATGTCTTTACGAAAACCCATGTCTAATAAACGATCCGCTTCATCTAGTACAAGGACCTTCACACCCATCAGCTTTGTTGCAAAACCTGCAGTATTCTCAAGATGGTCTCTTAGCCTTCCAGGAGTAGCAACAAGAATCTGCAAGTTAAAACGGAAGTAAAATGTAACATCCTACCAAATCATAGCCTTGATAATAAATGAGGTATTAACCCACAGTGAAGACCTAGAGTCTAGTTGACAGGGAAGTGATATTCCCTTGATTTGATAGATTAACACAATCTAAAGTTTTATCCATGCCAATTCTACCAATCTCATTCCAGTCCATGACACAGTTTAACAATGTAAATAAGAATAAAGATGTATGTCCAACCATTCCATTCCATTCATGATAACCAACTAACCTGGCAAGGGTTTGCTTGCAGGTTTTTTTGCTCTAAAGCAAGTCTTGTACCTCCAATCACAACCTGAACACCAATAGATGGGTGATACTTTAACAAGGTCTTAGCTTCTGAAGCAGCTTGAGTCGCAAGCTCTCGAGTTGGGCATATCACAAGAACATGAATTGGTGGCCGCTTAACATCATGATCAACAGGAGGCAATTTTGAAACAATTTCAATTGATGGAAGCTGAAGACAAAAGAAAAAAAGTAAAGAGTGAGCAAAGTGAACAACTCCAGCACATTCTCAACAGCAATTGCTGCTCATAATTATTAAATTCTGCAATGATTTTAAAGAAACTAATTATCATGATGCCTATGATTAATATATCACTCTAGAGGAGACAACAAAGTTAAGAGCAGGAGACTGCAGATAGAAAAAAAAAAACAATCTTCTTTTCCTGAGTAGATACTTATTTCTCTTTTTCCTAATTGAAAAAAAATGATCATTTACACCTTATGAAAAGAAGAAAAAAAAAACGAAACCCTTTTATATTTTGATGGTGCAAAACATGAAGAGGTCACTACAAAAAATGGGTGATGATTCAGATATTAACCCCCAGGCCCCAAGTAAACAGACAAAGTGTACTCAAACATACGAAAGCAGTGTCTTACCAAAAATGCTACTGTCTTTCCTGTGCCTGTTTTGGCCTTGGCCAGTACATCCTTGCCTGAATAAAATAATTTGCGATTAGCTATTGGGATCTTAAAACATGCATCACCAGAAAGCCAATGTGCAGAGAACAAAAATAAAGACAATATCATTTCAGAATCTCATAACTCAACTGATTAGCAACCTAAAGTAAAGCGCAAAAGTCAAAACAGCATTGTAGTTAGGCAAATATCAAGCTGAAGAGACGTAAAGCACATAGATTAACCATTTACAGGTACCTTTATCCATTCCATACATAATTCCTTATGATCTACTTAAACAAAGGAAATCCTAGAACTGCCGCACCGATGCAGCTACTCTTACAGCACAATTAGCTTCCAAAGCATTACCAATGAAAGTGTTCAGTGGTAAAAAACAAGAGAGAGTTTCTACAAATATCCCATCACCGATTCCTATATAAATTATACTAAAGCAGGAATGGAAACAAACCTTTGAGTATTGCTGGAAGAGTTGCCTCCTGTACCACAGTCATCTTCTCATAACCAGCATCCTTAATTCCCTTCAATGACAAGGGAGAAATAGAAATTTGATCAAATCTGCAACATAACACAACTACACAAGATCAGAAATTTACATAAGCCTAAGAAACATTAACCATTTCCCATACAAGTTGATAAACACGGACCTTGTTTCACTCAAGTAAGAATCGGATTTAGCTTGTGACCTTATTGGACTCCCTGTTTGGTTAGCATCCTTCTCTAATCCCAATGCAGAACTCGCATTCTTTCTTAAAATTCCATAATCATCATCATCATCAGTAATATCACTATCTTCCTCACTAAGAAAATTCTTGGCTCCTTTCATTTTCCAACTTCTTTTCTCTTCGTGAGTTTCACTATCTTCCTCTTCGGAAAGGTTTGATTTTCTTCCCAAATTATTTCTTCCTCCATCCCGCGTATTAATTGAATCCAAGCCCCGCTCATTTCTCTTTCCTTTCCATGAATCCACCCTTTTAGACTCTTTTTCACACCACGAGTCTTTCTACTCGAGTACGATTCACCATCATCCTCGTCATCGTCTTTACTATTCTCGTCTTCTAATTCACTATCAGACCGTGTACTGAACCGGGAATTCCTCGAAAACGAATCGCCCAAGCGGCCCCGAGATTCCCTATTGCTCGACTCGCGAAAATTTTCAAACTCACCCTCTTTTCTCCGCTTCACAAGAACCCCGTTCCTATTCCTATCTCTACTCCTAACTCTATTACGTTCCCTATCCGCGTCCAGTTCCTCGTCTTCGCTAGTGAGTCGACCACGGAATGAATCGGTTCTCAACTCGCCGACCCAGTCACTGAGCTCGGCCTCGTCCTCAATCAGACTCTTTGAAGCACGGACATCTCCTCTGATTTTAGGAGTGAACTTGGAGCTTGCCCCGGACCTAGGTCGAGACGGCCTGGTAGAAAGGCTCCGCACAGTGAGTCTCCCATTAGAACCAGGTGATAAGCCAAGGAACTTGAGCTTAAAAGGGAACATCCGATTTAAAACGGGTATGGAGCCTTGCAAGCAAATGGTCGACCCGTGATTCATGGTCGTAAAACTGGTTGCCGGTAGAGAAGGGCCGAGAAGACGAAGCTGAGGAATAAACTTAATAATCATTTGCTGACACCAAAAAATCAGTGCAAAATGAAGGATGGAATGGCGACAGTTAACGTTTTTACGAGGGTTTAAAGCTTTGAATGAAAACGGGATAGGGTTTTAGCCTTTTGAGAACGAAGGAAAAGAGTGCGACGCACGGTGTCGTTTTAAACTTTCTGACGGATATCAGGCCCGTGAAACCCAATGTCTGACTCAACTGGTCTCCAATAAAAGATTTATTGCCCATTGTGAGATTGGCGGCCCAACATTCATGCATAAATTATTTATGTAAATTTAAATTCAGGGTAAAGTACATCAGATGTCATTGAATTAAGCTTAAGTGATCATTATGATTATTAAACTTTTAAAAGTTTAAAAAATCATTAAATGTATCAAATTTTTATAAAATGGCAATTAAATTTGTCAGATAATTACAAAATAATCATTAAATTTATCAATTTTTTACAATTATTATAAAGTTACAATGATCGTTTTCTAACAATTTGATAAATTTAATTATCATTTTTTTATTTTTGAAATTTTAGTGACCAATACAATCATTTAAGAATAGTTTAGTTACCTCTAGTATATTTTACCCTTAAATTGATTGATTGGGCTTGAATTTTGTGTGTAAATTCATCCTCTCCAACCAACTTAAACAGGGGTAAAAATAACAATCAGTCACATTGTTGATCGGAATAAAAATTTGGAAGAAAGGGCAAACGGTAAGGGCAAACATGGAGATCTACTTGGTGGTTGGGAGGGATTGGTACCCTCCCAATATTTTTGGTATAATGATAGTTTAGGTCCTTTTTAGTTTAACTATTAATCAAATAACATCTTTACTCCTCTCAGTTTTTAGTTTCAAATACTTAACGGATCCTTGTTCTTTTTCTATAAAATAAATTTTACTTTCAACTAGGGGTGTAAACGAGTTGAGTCGAGTTCGAGTATTGTTGAGTTCGACTCAACTCTAAAACTCTGAAAAAAGCTCGGCTCGACTCGAAAATTCGCGAACTTAAAATTTTCATGCTCAACTCGAATTCGAAATCCTGAACTAAAGCTCGTGAACAGCTCGAAAAGGCTCGAAATGAACAAAAAATTTCTTAAACTTAACTTGAAGCCTAAAACTCGAACATGAACATTAAATAAATGAAAATATAACTGTAATTTAAAAAAAATCAATACATAAATATTAATATTATTAATATTTTATTTTTTAAAAATAATATCTTAATATATTATATTTTTAAGCTGTTCACGAACTTTTTGAGTCGAATATCAAGTAACTCGTTTCGACTCGTTAAGAATTCAAGTCGAACTCGAGTCGAATCCATTCGATCCGATGTAGCTGAGAATCATGCAACCATAGTTCAGATTGGAAGTGCAAACAAACGCAAGAAAGAAAGTTGGTGAAAACCTATAACTTTTTTATATAAAATTGTGTCAAATTTTATACCAAGGTAATTAAATTTTACTATCTCTCATTCTACTCATTGTACTTTTTAATTTTTTCAATTTGATCACTAAATTTTAAACATTGAACTTTTTAATCACTTTATCATTAATTCATTAATGAGACAGTTATGTGACTTGTTTTAAATATTATAATATGCCACATAAGATTTATAATTTAATAAAATAAACTCAGAAATAACATGGCATTTGGCTTGTGAGATGAAATAGGTGGTTGATGATGAAAATTTTTCTCCACCATTATAGGGAGCATTCAATGAAAGGAAAATCTTTCCCAGAGATGAGAAAAGACATTAAACCAGAAATGAAATTGTTTGGAGAATTCAATAAGCTTGTTGGGTAAAATAACGAAAATCAAAAGGATGGAAGAAAGGATAAATTTTGGGAAAATCCAAGAAATGATGAATTACTTTTTCAACCTTTGATTCGCTGGGTGGTTGTCTTCAACCTTTGGGTTGTCTTTCATGGACACTAAGGGTTTTAAACAATGAACCTTGGATTTTCTGGGTTTGATGACTATGAAAATCTAACTCTAGATTACAAGCTTTATTTAACTTTTTAACTATGATAAACCAAAGAAGCATTCTCTCGTTGGAAAAGTTGGGGTGAAATCTATCCAGATCAGTTTAGGTATTAGAGATGAGTCTGAAAAAGTATAAGAAAGTTGTTGATCTTACCCATTCGTCGTTCAATCCTATTGGGGTTCCACAACATTTGTACCTTGCAGATAACTTGGATCGTTAGAACAAAGATGGTGGTCGATGGTGGTTATAATGAGGGGGTCGACTTGATGATCGAAAACTGGGTTCTTTTAGTTTGAGAACACAAAATACTGAGAAGTGGGATGGGGACGAATATGAAAAAAGAAATAAGGGAAAGGAGAAAATAAAGAGAAAAAAGATTTTTTTTTATTTATATCAAAAGTACAACATTTTAATCTTAAATTGATTTTTATAAAGATCCAAAACTATTTTATTTTGATATAGATCATTATGTTATAACGTCGTTAAATATATTAATGATAGAGTATAAAGTGTCATATGTAATAGGATAAGGGGAGGTAGGGTAGTAGATTGCCCCCAACGTCAGGTTGAGAGCAGCTTCCGTGGAAGACATCTGGCAGTCAGAAAATAAAAATATAGATAAAATGTAATACATGTATAAATAAATAACTAAATATATACATACTTGAACAGTCTTCATATGCAGTCATCATATGCTCGTCTATAACGGGAAGTAATCTTACAAATAAATCCATGCGTAAAAATCTCTACATATAGACAGAAACGTAAGACCCGACTAAATTTAAAAGAGGAAACATGAAGAGAATGATATACAGAAGTCAACGATAGCAAACTATGAGAAAGAATAAAGTCAAATGGGTTAAAACCTAAACTAAGGCAACACTACTCCACTACCCTAGTTCTAAGACTTCATAAATTTCAATGACAGAAATGTATAAAAAGAAGAAGTCATGGAAATTACTGCAAAGGCATTAAAAGAAAACAGAGATGACAAACCCTATAGATGTGACCCGTACTACTTGACTACCCAAGTTTTAAGTCTTTATATTTTCCTATCAGAGGTTATGTCATCGGTAATGGTTAAATCCATCAAATCAGATCTCAAGCAGTATTTCTACTTCCGCCTTGGTCGTCCTCTCCTTCTGGCACCGTCGATTGTAATCGACTCTACCCTCCTAACTGCATCCGACGGTTTTCGCCTAATGATATGCTCAAACCACCGTAGTCTTCCTTCCCACAATTTTTCGAATACATGCACCACTCCCAAATACATCCTAATAGAAGAGATCGATGTCATGTCCTACAAAGTTTTACTATAAGTCCATCGAAGCATTATCATTTCTGTGACATTCATCTTTCTTACATGATCCTTCTTGATTACTCAACATTCTTATTAATAAATAATATGTGACTTAATCCACCCACATGGCACCAGTACCTGAATGTGTGACTGATTAGTTAGTTTGTACGTGACAAGAGGGGGCCTTAGCTTTTGGCCCGCCCTGCCATTTTTCCTTGAAATTCTGAATTAATTCATGTGATTAATTGTTGGGAAAAAAAATATAAAAAAGGAAAGTCCCCTTTAAATACAAAACTGAAAGATGAACAAATGACCGTAGGGACACTTGAAATCATTCCTATTTTTACCATCAGTGTATAATTCCATATGATGGGAACCTTTTGGGCATTGGAAAAAGTGGCAAGTCGAAATCTTTTTGGTAAAGCTGTATCATGACTTCATACCAACTTCACGCGTTTCAATAATATTGGAGTAAGGCATGATAGGAAGTTTGCCGCCTAAATGGCCCATCAATTGATACGTTTTTGTAGGATGTGATTTTACTTGTATGATAATATTTTTGGGCACGGTTTCTAAAATTGATAACATTCATAATTAAAATTAAAGAAATGAAAATAATAGGTAAAAGAATAAAAACAATATTATGAATGTTATAAAAAATATGCATGATACATGTTGAAGAATGATTTGATCGGACAACGACAATAATACACGTGTATAGATTTATCTTCAATCACTTAATAATTATATATTTAAACAATCAATTGAGTTTGAATTGCTAAAGATGGATCTTGAGCTTGATCAAACCCATATTAATATGACATCTTTGGATACTTGGATATTTAGTATTTCAAAAAGTAATAAATGTTGTTGTTTGTTGTACCGATATAAGTATTAAATTAAAAACTTATACTTGACATCTCAAAATAAATAAAATTTTGATATGAGATTCTAAAAATCTCACATTGTTTAGATTTTTTTGTATTCAATTTTTAGGGTTTTGGACTGACTAATATAGATCGACCCGAGTTGCACAACTAGTTTTGGTGGGTGAGTCTCCCAACAGTGATTTTCAGCACACACAATGACTCGAACCTAAGACTTTGCTCGAACGATATCAAACTGCTTATCACTTAAACCAATCAATTAATTTTTAAAAAAAGTTTCAATATAATTTTTTAAATAATAACTAACTAATTAATTAAATATAAGATTTTATACACATGTGATAAAAGATAGGCACTTACTCATGGAATTATGTGTATTAATTGTTTTCTATTTCTTACAACATTTGCAATTGTTTTCTTTTAACTGTTTAGCCAACTAATTTTATTTGTTTTATTTTGATACGAAGTGTTGTCAACACAAAAAGAAATGTCCGAAAATAATTCACGTTTTAAATTTGGAAACGTTACCACATGACTCACTTTTATCAAAAAAATAATAAATTTTCTAAATAACTTTTTAGATATTGTTTATATAAATAACTTCAAAATATATATTATTTCTATAAAATTACCATTTTCAAGTAGATAGAGAGATCGATAAAATGAAAGAGCTATGTAAACCCATATATTGTTAAATAGTTTTTAAAATAATTAGAGTTGATTAAAATATAATATATATTCATGAATTTTTTAACAGTTAACAATACATATTATATAAACAAGACTTTAACTAGAACAACGTTTTTTAATCACTGAGATCATAAGGTCATTTAATGAATTCATGCATTAAATAATTATTTGTACACATTAACTACAAGAATAATACGAATTATCTTACCTCATTGATTAAAGGAATTGATGTTTT